TATATATATAACTGTGTGTGTGTAGCTGTCCAGTGATTTTTTTTTTTTTTTTTGTCAAATTGCCCCTAATAAATCTTTGTTCTAGGGCACCTTGTAGTATTTTATAGTTACTTCACAGATGTTTTATGTTAGGGATAAATGTTCTGATAAACTCATAGCTGGATTGGTCCAACTCTGCAGGGATTCTCCCTTTAAGTGCAGTCATTGTTATTGGCAATTGGCTGACACACCTCAAGCAGCAAAGGGGTAATTAACTATAGTGTGCGCTTGGCTCTTTGAAGCTTTCACTCAAGGAGGCATGCCAGACAGCTAAGCTGATTACACTGAATGCACTTTAACGAGAATACCTGCAGAGCTGGATTGATCTGGCTAGTAAGGTAGGTTTATCTGAATGGGGTTTTAGAGAGTTGCATATCACGAGGTAACGAGAAATTTCATAGAAGTGTGGGGGAACAGGTTCAATTCTGAGACATTTTCACAATTGAATTATTCTAGCTCAAGTCCATATAGCATCTTATTTAATTTTTTACTTACTACACTATAGGCATGGTCACCAGACATTACAAATCATTCATTGGTTGCCTAGAAGTAACAAGTATAAACAACAAGACAGTAACTTCCAGCTTCCTTGTTACTGAGAAGACCAATTTAGCCAATGGCTGTGTGAATAAGTGTTTGGGGTCTTCTGGGCCTGGTCCTTGTCTTAATGGAGGGGAGTGTATCAACAGGTACACTGACACTGTGTGTGACTGTTCCTCTACAAGATATGCAGGAAAGAGGTGTGAAAAAATAGGTTGGTGCAGTTCTGAAACAACTTTTCAATCCATTACCAGTTCACACGTATTAAATTGAAATGAATTAGTCAGGAGAAGAAGCATTTTAAAATCAGTTATATATTTTATACAAAAATACAATTAAAAAACAGTTAATGACTAGATGGCAACATTTTTCATTGTTATAGCATGTTTTTACTTGTGACAGGAAGAAGAATTATTACTGTCACTTATGCATTTATGATTTGATATAATTATTCTTTCAATGATCGATTGTCTTTTAGGTGTCTTTGCTTTGGTCATGATAACATGATAAATACTTCAGTACTGTTTATATTTTCCAGGTCTGACATCCGTGACCATGATTGGCAAATCTTGGCTGCAATATGATGCTTTTGAGGCTGATAACCACTACTGGACAATACGGAGTATCATGTTGCAGTTTTTGGTAATCTTATTGCTTCTGCAACATTGTACTTCACTTATAGATCTGAAGAATTTCTTACAAATCAAATTCAGCCCTGATCTACCTCATTTAACATTGGGCTTCAAACCTTTATTTTAAACTTAAAACATGAATAACACTGATCTGCTGCAATGTTTGAATATCAATTTGATCTTGAATTTAGCAGTGATACATTGTTTTGTTATGATATATAACGTCTTAAAATTTTGATTCAAGCCATTTATTTAACCACAAATTAAAAACCTGTTAAAGCCTTCCAGACCTACAGGGCTGTTATTTGAAGCAATGGGAGCCATTGACAGTGGTTCATACCTGACAGTAGCTATGGAGGATGGAAAGATAAAGGTTATAGCTCTACATGGTGGTTATATTTCACAATTGAGCGTGGAACAAGCAGTGGGGTTTGGTGTGTAAGTGAGGAGTGAACATACAAGCAATTAATATGAATCCGTTGATTAAAGGTTTTTTTTAAGTACAGAATTACAAAAACATTAATCAACTGTCGGCTGTATTTGCACCAAATAGATGAATGTGCATGAATATCTCTGTGCCAGAGTCCAAAAATATGTATGTTTTAGAAAAGTAGTAATTTCCCTGCTCAGTTAGAAATGACAAGGAAATAAAATTTCATTTACAGGTGGCACCAGCTTACAGTAGTTCCCAGGACTGACCATGTTGTAATTAGACTGCNATAGATGAATGTGCATGAATATCTCTGTGCCAGAGTCCAAAAATATGTATGTTTTAGAAAAGTAGTAATTTCCCTGCTCAGTTAGAAATTAAATTTCATTTACAGGTGGCACCAGCTTACAGTAGTTCCCAGAACTGACCATGTTGTAATTAGTCTGGATAGGAGGCAGGAAACACTGATGTTAAATTCCTCTGACCCAGGCTTTCACCTGACAAAAGTGTACATTGGAGGTTATCCAAATGCTTCACAAGGTACATACAGTGAAACATGCATTTGATTTTAAACTATTTCCATGTCCTTAACTTACCTATTATACTTGTAGAAATAATTAATTAATAACAGTAGTTTTGGGACAATTATATAAAAGAAAAATAGATAAAGGTAATGAACTTTAAATGTGTGATTGAACTTCATCAGAGTCTGTACCTTGAAAGGTGCTTGAATACAGCGCCGAAGCTTGAATTCAGTTTGTGGACTTGAGAAGTACTTGAAATTGTAATAAGCTTTGAAAAGAACGTGTACTCCATCATTTTTGTACTTGAAAAGTACTTGAATTTGATCTCTAATCAATTTGTCAAAAATTATTTTAAATTTTGTCATTTTAACCTGAATGTAGACAATAATTGGATGAAAGGGTGAATGTTTTCTTGGACAATATCCAATTTTTATTCTTTTTGTGTTTCAACATTAATGTGTTAAAATGCAAAGTTTGTAAGAAATATTACTTTCATAATATTTCTTTTGTTTTTGTTATGTACACAGTTCACTTATAAATGGTATTGCATTGCTCTCATTTGCATTCCAAAAGTCCTTGAAATTGATTAAATTAGAGCTTCAAAAGTCCTTGGAAGTTTTCTTAGTATTCCTGTATGAACCCTGTTTATATATTCCAAGATGGTAAACCTGAAAACCAGTATTTGTGAGTAAAGTGATGCTACTCTCCACACAATTGTCTTATTTCCAGTGTCTGGTCATTATGTCAATTTCACTGGGTGCATGCGAGGTGTGTATGTCAACCACCTGTCTGTTCTGGATGAGGCAGAGAGTCAAGGGCCAGGAATAGAGGGATTTGGGTTTTTACTTAAAAGTGCCTGCAAAGACCTGAACCTGATCCCTATATCTTTTCCTGCACCAAGTTCAACAGTTGCAATCCCAGCAAACAGCCACAAGTTGATCAATGTGCATTTTGCTTTCAAGACTCTGAATGCCAATGCATTGTTGATGCATGCACCAGTCTCCATAGACAGTGCCACAGGGACACTTAAGGTGACTGGGAAATACAAATTCTTGCTTGAATATAAATTAGTAGTCTTTGTGTATATAGTTGCTAAATACACGGTGACTGATAATTTATATTCAAGCATGCAGTTGAAGCAATTGTTTCATTTCTAAAAGTTTTGTCATTTAGTTTTCTTTTCATATAGCTTATTATATATCTGATTTGAAATATTGCAATTGTTTAATATGAAAAGTGACTCACAATTACACATATTCAGAATAACAAGATAACCAAAGAAGAGTTTTTAAGCAAAAGTATAAGATGTATTAACTAGCTACAATTACAGTACAAAAATATAGGAATTTATATGCTAATTAAGGTTAATTTCCTTTTTAAACTCTAGTTTTAACTCTTGTGCTCCATAGGTGTGGCTGTCAGATGGTAAGTTAGTAGTCAGAATCACCACAGATGACCACTCGGTAGCCAACAGGTTGACAGTAGGGAGGAGGCTCAACCTTAATGAGTATCATGACGTCAGAATCAGAGCACTGTACAGGTAGGATAAGTTTCAGATCAGCAATGTGTGCTGGAGGTGCATTGGTTTTGGCCAGGAATTTTGTTTATTATGGCATCACTTCAAAAGAGTCAAATTGCATGTATTATGTTTCAACTAAACTTATATTTTGCAAATTGTATGCATTTATTCACTGGCATTACCCACGTACTGCCTTAGTGTGTGTTCAGTAGGTTCATTTTCAAAGATTTGCCAGCCATTGTATTGCCAAAATAGAAAATTCTCTATAACATTTTACCTATTTCTGTATATCATTTTTCTGTTAATATGCCTAACACGGCTGGTAGTACATACCCAGGAGATTTCTCGGATCTTTCTCTTTTATATCCTTATTGTACTTTGTAGTTTAAACTCACCCTGGGGATATCTCAGTAGTAGAAGGCAAGGTAGAAAACCATATTAGCCAAAAAGTGTCATATTATTTGAAACAGTTGGATAATTTTGTATCATACTGTTTTCATATGATAAGGAAAACACTGGGTTTATGCACTATGCTTGTTTCCAGACAACTCACTGTTCACCTTGATGAAGAAAATACCAAGGCGCAGAGAGCTGGAGACATCAAGTTTACAGGTTATGTACATTTTGGAAGAGACCGCCATTCAGAAATTAAAGGTTAGAGAATATTTGTTGTTTACAATACAAATACTGATGAATAAAGTTTTTGATTCACAAAAAAACAAAAAAAAATCTTTCTTGGGATCTAATAAGATGATTGTTTATAATTACTTCATGACATAATCATGTAAAGTCTCATGTAGCACCAGCGGTAGGTGGGTTGTGTTACTGTCTTCCAGGTAGTTTTGTTGGATGTATGACAAACTTTGCCATCCAGAACATTAGCATTGACTCCCAAGACATAGTGCAGTACCAGAATGAAGGTGTTATGATAGAGGAGAATGGCTGTTCTCTGGAGGACCACTGTGCCAATAGCAACCCATGTCAACATGAAGGAAGGTGTGTCTCCCACTGGAAGTCAGCCAGCTGTAACTGTACCAGAGGATATGAAGGGAAGACATGCCAGTTTGGTTAGTGGGAGAATATTGCATCTGTAGAATTACTAGAGTTCATTATATTTCATGTGCTCTTTATATATACATTTCCTGGTGACATCAACAGTTTTGGTGTACTTACCAATCAGTCAATTACCACACCAATAAGAATTGTAGAATTTTGTTATGACAGTCAGTATTTTTTCCGTCATTTCCTTCAAATTTGTTTTTGGCTAAAAGTAACTATTATTTTATCTTTGTTTATTTCTCACATATCCTTTGTGACAAATACAGCTATTTTATAATTTTTTATTCCACATCAGCTGTATATCCCAGCAATTGTGATGAGTATTACCAGCGTGGTGACAGGATATCTGGAGTGAAGCAAATAGACGTAGATGGCACTGGCTCCCTGTCTCCATCCTATGTGTACTGTGACATGGGGTCATCTAACACTGGAGAAACTGTGGTGGATCACAACTGGGAGGAGCAAGTGGTCAGGGCTCCAGGATTGCCTCATCAGAAAATGACAATATCCTACAGGTAAATAGTAAAGAAATGTTGCTTTTGTCTTGAAAAAAATTAAGTATTGTATATAAAGCAAACACATTTTTTGTGTGTATTAGTAAATTGTTTTGGTTCAGTATAAATGGTAGCTATTTAAGAGTTTATTGTATAACTTGCTTTCTCTTTGTTTTCTTGTCATTTTAGTGGTATTCATGTTAAGTTTTCAGCCCTTGGTTCAGACAAAAGTTTTGATCATGTTTTAAACAAGCTATGCATCATATTTATTATTTTCTGTCATTTTAGAACTATGGACATGGCCAAACTTCAGGAGTTGGTGAAAAATTCAGCAGGCTGTAGGCAACATTTCAGATATGAGTGTACAGATTCCCCCATCAAGTGAGGATCTAATAGCTGTCTATACATTGTATTAACCTATAACTTGTTTATGACCAGAAGTTAAATGCTTTAAAAAGAAGTGAAATTGATCATTTTTTATCTCCATGTAATTTGATGCTTCCATACCGCATGTAAACTTAAATCTATATAGCAGATTAGCTGTAAAGAGCATCTATCTAACAAAAGCACTAAAAAGGAATGTATTAGTATTGCATTATTGCATTTGTTCCAATATTTCAGGTTAGGGGAGTTATTTAATTACAGTAGTCCCTCTGGAGATATGCACTCTTCCCTGGGAGGTGGACATTATGGACAGTGTCCGTGTGCTGTCGCAAGGAACTGTACTGGGACCCAACCATGTAACTGTGACGTAGGTAATGAAAGCAAGCAAGAAACAATCTTAGTAACAATGTTAATGAAAGCAAGCAAGAAACAATCTTAGTAACAATGTTACTTTGAATACGTATAATCTCTAATAAGGTCTGATAACTATATGTCTGGCCGATCTAAATTAATAACTGTAAAATCTTTTCTCTGTTGTAAGTGTCCATGGTTAATTTCAGTTGTGTAGTTTTCCTTCTTTTTTCATAGTGGGGAGGGTGATGGCTACATGTTGAAGGTTCGTATGGCATGAAAAAATTTATATTTTGTTTTATTATTTTCATTATTTAAGGAGGCAAAACTGTTGACAAAGGATTTGAAAGAAGAAAATCCCATCTACCAGTGACTGACTTAGTTTTCAAGCAGAATGCTAGCAGTAAAGGGGTGGCAAAATTTAGTCTGGGACCTTTGATCTGCTATGGACAAGGTAACTGTTTAATACACATTTCATATAATAAATCAGCCAAATGTGTGATAGACAGCCATAATGTTTCAATTATTTGTACAAGCAAAATTGCATATTAACCCTTTCTGAAATCAATTTATTCCAGCATCTGAAACTTTTCCTGCCACCATGTCCTTTAACAGTCCCCTGTCTCACCTGAGCCTGCCTGGGTGGACTAGAGGGCACCTGTCATTTTGGTTTCGCACCTTCCAGTCTTCAGCTGTCCTGTTTTATCAAGCTCCTGCAAAACCTGGCACTCAGGACTTTTTTGAAATTACACTTAAGGATGGTCAGTGGATCTTTGTAATGCCTCAATTAATGTATAAGATAATTCTCTAGGAGAATGTTTATACACATTTTTTTGTACCCTGAGCATGTTCTTAGCACTACAGATACAGATCTGGTGTTTGATTTATTTTAGAGATGAGTTAGGCATTGAATGACAGCACAAATTTGGGTAGATCTTTTTAAATGTAAAGTAAAAACATATTCTTGTAGTTAAAGATAAATAAAAGAGTGAAAATGTGCAGAAAAATATTATGAACAACTAGTTTAAAAATCTGGTCATTTATTGAATCAGATTCATAAATTGTGTGTTCACAATCTGTTTCAGATACCATTTTGTTTACTTTTGCTATCAAAAGCAAGACAGATGTCCTGAATTTGAAAGCAAAGAGCTCTCTAACTGATGGGGAATGGCATTATATAGCAGTAGAGCTCAGTCCTCAGCAGACCAGATTTACTGTAGATCTACACAGTCAAATCCATGATTTCCATATTGGCAGTGATGGAATGTTGGGACCAGGTTTCAAAGGCAATGTGGCTATTGGGCACAGGTAATTCATTAGTACACATTTGCAAGAATAATCTGCCATGCAATGTTATAAACCAAGAAAGACTAATAAACTTGTTAACTGAAAATGTGAATGTTAGTTCTCAACATGCAAAATATTATCGCACAATTAAAAGAGAGCTCTTTGAATTGATAGTGATTACAATGGGCAATTGTTAGACTTTTCGAAGAAGTAAGCTTTGTATTTCATGTGTGATTTTTTAGCATTATAGCCACTGCCACAACTCCAGGGTTATTTGGATGTATGAGGTCTCTGAAATACAATAATCAGTTGTACACAATTACAGATCATGTTGATCAGAGGTAAGACCACTATGAGAGTTAAAATGGACTAGAATAAATATTAAGTGTCTTTATTTTTCCTAACTTATTTTCACATACCTGAAAGAAATTGTCACACCAAACAATTCAAATATAAAAATAAGAGACCGTGGGGGGAGTTGACTTGAGTGTCATTGATCCATAACTACATGTGTTTGTTACAGAGCACACAGAGTCATACCAGGCTGTATCGCATCCTGTGTCAGCCAGCCATGCCATAATGAGGGTCAGTGTGTAGAGCGGTGGGGAGACTACCAGTGCAGGTGCCATGATCCATTACTACATATAGGCAGGAACTGCGAGCTAGGTCAGCAGAACTCAGTATTTTCAAGATTGTAGTACAAAGTTTTTACCACATTTAGATTTTTTTAAATTGTTTGTTTGTTCAAGTTACTGCACATTTAACATTACATCTATAATTACCAATCAACCATAAATCATGGTAATTACTCGATCTTTTCAATGGGCCAAATTATCAAACTTTTAGATCCATCATTTTATAATCACAGAAATTATATTTCTATATAGCTTTTGTGTTTTTTTTAAAGAAATTAAAAAAAATACAGTAAATTCACAATTTTCCCCCTTTGAAAAGATGGAGTATTAACTGTATGCAAAACTTGGTGCTTAACAAATTTCTTCTTTGATATGAAACAAAGGACAAACATAAATGTTCTTTTTAGTAAACATTAACTGAAGTGCACAGTTATCTGCATTAATGTCATATGATATTAAAAAATTGCACTTTTTTCAGATCTCAGCCAGGACCAGGTATATTTCAGTCCCAGTGCCAGCCCCCTGGAGTTTCAGCATGCTATGGAGAGTACAGACTCAAATCTGGACACTCTGTTCAGCTTCAGAACATACCAGACATCTGTCCCAGTCTATTATGCTGAGGACACACTGGGAAACTCCATTAAAGTGGATGTCAGGAGAAAAAATACACTGGCCTTCACTTTGAACAGGGACAGAGAAGGAGAAGTTGATATCCCAGGTGGGACAGCGTGTTTTATATACATAATGTCAGTTGTCATGTACTTTGGTTAGCAAGGACAGAGACTTGGCTAGCTAAGTATTGAAAAGAAAAGAATGAAGAATCTAATGTAAGTTTAATTGTAATATACTTAATTGTAATATACTGTGAATACAAAACAGTTATTGTTTTCATATGTGGAATTTTTATAAAATTACTGTTATTTTTTTTTAGTTTTATCTGAAGGCACATGGATACAAGTGATAATAAGGCGTGACCAGAATAACTTGATATTTGAAGCAAGTGGACGGCAAATGGTTTTCAAAGATGGTAATTATTTATTATATTTTTATTAAACATTTCAGTAGTTTTTGATGTCCAGTAAGTTGTCTTTCAGTTTGACTTAATTGATTTAATGAACCTGATATCTTTATTTTTGAAAGATCCTGCATCTATGGAGGCTGACATGGCAGGATCAGGGATTTCTGCAAACTACCCCATAGAACTCAAAGTATACATTGGTGGCCATCCAAACTCAACCCAAAGCTTACATGGCTGTTTCAGTGGTCTTAAAATAGGAAACATGCCATATAATCTTTCCAAGGCAGCAGATGAAGGAAGACAGGGTAAGTAAAAAGTGTCTGCCCACTTATTAAGAAAAGATAAAATTTTCAAAAAAGGATTTCTTGTCTTACTTTTAATCACACATTCCACTTTTCCACTTCACCTTTTTAATCAGTTTGATATTAATTGTCTCCATACCCTTTTCTGCATTCAGGTATCCTCCTTGGCTGTGAATCAGGCTGTGATGCAACGCCATGCCAGCATGGTGGCCGCTGCACAGAGAGATGGCAGGGACAGTATCACTGTGACTGCTCACATACCACATACACTGGTGACAACTGTGACACAGGTTGGTAATAATTGACATCACCACTGTGACTGCTCACATACCACATACACTGGTGACAACTGTGACACAGGTTGGTAATAATTGACATCACCACTGTGACTGCTCACATACCACATACACTGGTGACAACTGTGACACAGGTTGGTAATAATTGACATCATCACTGTGACTGCTCACATATCGCATGCACTGGTGACATCTGTGACATAAGTTAAGATAAACTTGTATCTTTGAGATTGTTAGTAGTTTTTTAGTTGTGAGGAAGATAAGAAGTTTACACCAATAACTTTGTTTAGAAAGAAGACCGGACAGTAAAATGATGGATGTAAAGTAAAATGATAACTGTATTTATCTAGATGTTGGTGTTGAATTTGATGGTAACACAGTGATAACCACAGAGCTTGAAGCAGAAATGGTTCCTGTATCAGAGAAGGAAAGCATCTTCTTTACCTTTGCCACCAATACAGTCACCCCATCTCCAATGACCCTTGTATTTATTCAGGGATCTCATGGCAGGTGTGTACATAGCAAAATGTTGCTGATTCCGATTTCAACATCTCATTATATATGTTTGTTACGTATGTCTTCTGGAAAGCATTGACCTAAACACTAACAAGATGTGATAGACGATGCTAAGCAAAATGTTTAATTTTGAATCTGCAAACTTTCAAACTATGCAAGTAGAAGTTTGCAGCAAATATAACAGGCTTCTTGTATTTTTTATAAGTTGTACAACACAGTAGTTGTCCAGTATTAATAATAAGGAAACCTTACCTATGATTTATTCCAGAGGCATGGAGTACATCCTGGTGACCTTGACCCAGCAGGGAACTATCAGGGTGGATGTGGATCTAGGATTTGGGCAGCGTAAGCCAGCTTTGTTTTTTCTGTCTATTCATCCATCTATTAAACTTTTTGCTTAAATGGAGAGATAGATGGATAGGTAGATAGAAAGATAAAAAGCACACAAATATAGGATTTAAAGGTACTTTGTGAAAAAATGTTTAAATGTATCAAACCTTTGCTTAGTATCCTACAAAGCAAAGGAACATTTTGAAGGCATTTTGGATTAAAATTTATCAAGAATATCCAAAAACAAGACCTCAAGATTGCCTGTTTGATTATATGTTCAACAAGAATCTCTTTTTCTTCCCAGATGCCATAGCATTGCAAGGTCATTATGCAGATGGCAACAGGCACAAAGTACATTTTAGGAGATATCAGGAAATATTTCTGTTGCAGGTAACTTTGTTTCTCTGATTATTTGATATAATATATGTGAACAACAAATGAGTTATAAATGAGATTGCTATTACTGTATTTCTTTGAATTTTACTTAACTAGTTGTGTATTTTTTCAATGAGGTTGATGACAGGAACACCTCCTCCATGTTGCACCTGGAGTACAGATTCCATGGAATCCGCAGGATTTCAGTAGGAGGAATAACTCCAGGATTTATTCACTTCCTACCAGCTGGGAACATGAAGGGATGTATCTCTAGTGAGTTACTGCATTAACACTATCATGGACACTATTTGATGAGCACCTAGCAAATAATCTATAAAAGAGCATAATATTATAGAAATTATATTATGGGAATAATTATCCAGACTGACTGTAACTAATCTTCAGACATCTGCCATAGCAGTCAAATTTTGATTATTTATGAAAAGATACTTAAAAACTGAAGTCATTAAAGAATTTTAGGAGAACCTTTGAAATCAAGAATACTATAATTTACAAATTACATTGTTTCCAGATGTTGACATCCAACTAGAACATCTAAAAACCAATCTGTTGCCATTAGAAACTGCCTTAAAGATATCTCCTGGTCCTGAAGGGGTTGACTTCATAATTAGCCCAAACTCTGCAGACCTAAGGCCAGCAAAGTGTTCACCACCACCCAAGGAGATAGTGGATAAAGGAAATTTCACTGTCTTTCAGGAAGAAATTAAGGTAAGTGGGCAGAGACATTTCATTTTCTTTGAACAGTTCAACAAAACTTTTTTTTTTTTTTTGTGGGGGGGGGGAGGCTTCAGATAATGCCAATGAAATGTTTCACTGTGTGATAACTAAAGAAGTAACAGGTTAGAAATTATAAGCAAATGACATTTAGTGCATTCGTCATCTAATATATTGAGATGCAAGCTTTATTATTCTTTATATATATATATATATATATTTAAAATAACGTTGTGCAATTGTACATTGGAACCTCCAGTCCTGTCTCACTCCACTCTCTATATGGAGACATGGCCTGCGACCACTATATACTACTTTCTTCATTGCAGCCTCCCTCCACATTCCCTCCATGGAACCCAGGCCTGCCCAAGGTGGTCGTCATCTCCTCAGATGACCATGATATCCACACAGGGGAGCAGAAAGAGCAGGGTGGAGACAGCACAGTGACACATACAGGTAATGAACAGCACATTTAGAACCGTACTCAGTAAGACTTGTATTACTCTATTGTGTGAGTCTCAGAAATTACTGACTTAAATGTCATAAAAATTAAAGTTTTAATTTGAGGCATGAAAATTAAAATATGGAAAGTTTTTACTTAATTTTGCTGGCTTTTTTAAATCATCCTATAACACAGAACAGTTCAATTGTATACAGTTAAATGCTTAAAAGATGATCAAAATATTTTACCAAAATGTTTGCTTTTAGTTACAAATATATCAAAATTGATTTCACAGCCTATAAAGTGTAAAAAAAAAAAATCCGTGAATATCTACATAATTAACACCCAGTTTGTTTATTTTGCTATGTTAATCAATACTTGGGCAAGTTTTTAAATGATATCCAGCATTCATGCCATTTTGTTAATGTGTCATTTCCCCATTGATTGAATGAAGCATGAAACTAATATCTTAATTTTTATTTTGTCTTCTTTGTCACAGTTGTAGCTTTAGTTATACTGCTAGTTGCAGTAGCTGCTTCAGTTGTCATAACAATTATCTTGAGAAGAAAACACAGGAAGATTGTTAAAGAGTACCACTCTGTGAACCAGCAGGACAACTTTAACCCAGGGACACTAGAGCTCCCTGAGAATGAGGTCTCCCCAAGGCCCCAAAGCACTCACCTTGCCAGCACTGAAGATCTCAGTGATGCTATCTCAAGAGAAAGTGGTACATGTTTATAATATTTATTATTCTCTTTATTGTTTTCCATAATCAAATTTTTCTTTTACAGTGGTAATGGCAGTGATGTCAGTGATTATTCTGATCCTTATTGTAGCCATATTTGCCACAATATGCATTAAACCTGCATCTCGGCCACCTATTGTGTCTAACAATGTGGAGTTGAATCATATGAATAGTAAATTACATCATGATCCTAGTAAAACCAGACACAATAGAGTATCAACTGTCTCCATGTATGCAAGTGAAGAAGACTTCTCTGCCTTTGATGTGAATTGCCCACCTCAAAATGTTCACCAATTGAAACAAATGAGATCAGGTAGGCAAGCAAGAGACTGATTCACTGGTTGGAATTGCTTATCTATTCTGCCTGGTTTGGTTTTGTATCTTACTTAAAAGACTTGTGTCTGTGTGGACTTTTTTAGTGTTTTATGCATGTTGTGGCTTTAGCATATTTTTAAATGCTCTGACCTCACATATTCAGTTCCTAATGAACTTACCAACTGGCGTAGAATTATTGATTAAAATATGTCCTTTCTATTCTGTTTAGTTCCTTATTAGTGACTGTCTGTTTCATCAGTATTTTATTTCTCTTGGTATGTGATTAATTTAGAAAAAATGTTTCAATACAGATAGTTAATGACATTAAGTTGAAGAACTATTAATTCACACAATACCATTATATCTCCATTATGTTTAGTTTTGTTTTGTTTTTGTCAAAATACTGCACCGAGTGCAGCAAAATAGTGTGATCAGATGAATGGAGGGCATGACATGAGAACAAATTACAAAGTACTTGGTCTTGCTTCACCATCCTATTTCACACTGGGATCATGCTAGGGTGTGGAAATTGTTCACCTATTGATATGTTATTTTGGCCACTCTGTGGCATAGGGATATTAGAAGTTAATTTTCATTAATGCTTATTGTGAGTTTAAGCTTATTGTTAAATTAATTAATAATGAATGTTATTCAGAGGTAAACTTTAATTGAATGTTGCTCGATTAATGTTTCATGTTTCAGACTCTACTAAACCCAAGTTTGAAGATGAAGAAGGGGAGAAGCTACTAAATGATAAGACAGATTTTGAGAACCCTTCTAATGCTGGGAATGATCTTGATGCCATTGTAAGCAATACCATGTCAAACAATTATCTTATTGTGATTATAAATTGGTCTTTTCTTTATTAAAACTTAAGATATTAGACTTCGTTCTCTCCAGCTAAAACATCGACAAGATATGTTATTGTGAAAAAATTTAAGTCATTTATGTATCTTTCATTTCTTTGATTCAAATTGTAATTATAGTGAGGACTTAAATTTTTGATTATGTAACCAGCACAAACATTTATTGGTTCACTCTGATAGTTCATTTTCCTCCACAGCCAATGATTGATGCCAGTGATGAAGATGAGCCAACACCTTCAGCTCAATTCCTGCCACTGGGGACAGATGGCCTAGAATCCACAGAAAGTATAACACATCCAGGTGGCACAGGTAATGATGGTCTCTGTCTGCTATTCCAGCTTTTTCATTTGCATTCCCGTTTAGAAGTAGACAGTACTTTTTACTTCTTTTTTTTTCACAAAAAGGGGCCGAAACACACCAGGCTAGCACTGAAGACACTTCACAAAACAGAGATAATGCCCAAGCAGAACCTGGATTTTCAACTGTAAGTTGACTTATTGAGGAAATTTTAAAGATTTAAGAAACAGTGATGCATTTTCTCAAAATTAATGGTTTAACATGTTGAATTAAAACATTTGAACTTAAATGAAAACTACTTTTTGCAGCCTTCCGCAAGACCACAGTCTTGTCAGCTTACAGCAGTGTGATGGAATGTATGTTCTGTGTAGCTACCATTGTCTCAACTCATCACAACTTCAACAGATAAAAACTTCAGCTTGCTTGGTAATAAAATTTACATGTCATGAAAGTGTTTTGATTTCATCACAGTAAACAAATATATTAAAACAGCTTTTACTTTAAAGCCACCAAAGTTGATGTTTATAGTTAAATATATAAACATTTTATTATTATTAAAGCGAACATAGTTATACAACTGCTGTGGTGTGATTTTTTTGTGATAATAATAATAATTACGTCATGCAGAAAATGCTATACTTGACATACAGGATAGATTAAGTTTGCCAAAGTTACTTTTTGCCATTATACAGGATATCTTGCAGTTAGGTGAGGTTTTACTCTAATATCATGGCAAATGTTGCTTTGTTCATAATGCAGTTCATGAGGTTTTTTAGGCACACTACTAAAAGTTGGTTGGTTTTCAATGCATAGTAGTTTGTGACAACAGCTTATCTATCTCCATTTTGTCACAATGCCAGTTGTTAGAGTCGTAGTGTTAATAGTTTTAATATGAACTTTGTTTAATTATGCCATGGTAAATTTTGTTTTTTGTTTAAGAGGTATCAAGTAGCAACATTTAAATGGTTTTAGAGAGATTGAAACTGAGAGTTTATAAAGTTGTTGAGCATTTTTTTGTCTGTAGCATTGTATAATTTTTTCCACTTATTGCATTGATATTCTGTAGTGACGACAGCACAGTAACACTTCTTGCAGAGTAAGGCTTGTTGCATTATATTACAATTTATATTTTACATACCCAGCTACAGTAAATAACTTTTAAATAAGCTTTTAAATTGAAAAGGATGTTATCCTGACTTAAATCTTTATATAAAGGAGATTGTGGAAGCTTGTCTTCACTCACCTTTATGTTCAGTCTATATATATACTTTTACAGTGATCAACTTCACATCCATCATTTTACCAAAATTTTTCACATTGATTGATCATTATTATTAACTTGAATAAATGACAACATAAATGTTACTTAAGTGGAGTTTTTATTTTTCATTTGCTGCTCCCCTCAAAACATTTACTGTACAAAAAATGGGTCTACTAGACAGATTCCCTTCCATGTAGCAGTATTCAATTAAAATCCATGATGGTTTCATAATCTAAATAGACCAGTCTCTTCAAAATAATTTTGTTACTTCAGTCAATGCCAAACATATTGTGCACATTATATAAAACAATATCCCCTGTATAAATCTAGCTTAAATTCTTATCTCACAACTAACGGTACTACAGTACATAGCAATGTCACAAAGTAAATCTTAAGTAAAGTCTGTTATGTACAACAAAATATATCTTTGAAAGTGTAACACAATTCTTGCTCCAAGTCACTTCTAACCACACATGCTACAGTTATTTGTGACCATCAAGTCTTTATGGACCATCCTGATAATTGTTCAGACATCCATCTTTTCCTCTGTTCTTTCATCAGGTGCTTGGTCTGCCTCCTTACTGTCAGCTGTGCTGTCCTGTTTGGAGCTCGACTCTTCTTCTGAAATCGCATATATATATTAAGATCTTTTTTTTTTAATTTTACAAAAATTCTATATTGTTTGTAAGTGTTTGATACAGGGTAAATTTGTTCAATACTTATTTCAAATAAGGTTAATGCACATTTGGATGAAATCAAATTTGAAATAATGCCAGAACAGCCTTTTAAACCAAAATACTAAGCATATAAAAATCAGACTACCAGAATTTTGTTATCATTACGGATCTTCTATAAGTGTTCTTTAAGGTATAAAAAGATTTTATGTATCTGTGTAGCACAACATAAGTAGCCCATCAAAATAAGTGAATAATTCAGGTTATATTCAGTTACCTTTCTTTACTGCTGGGATTTCCTTTGTCTCCTGTTCTGCTGGTTTATCCTCCTTGCTTGCTTCTTTTTCTTCTTTGTTCTCTGCTGGCTCAGTCTTAACTGCATCCTTTTTCTCTTCACCTGGTTTTAAAATGTTACAATAATGGTTATGATCTTTGATCCTTAATAATTAATCATTTGAATAACAAAAAGCAAAACTAATTTTAGCAGATTAGTCATTGGTATGCAGATTTTCTTCGTGGTTGGATTAGAAACTCACCCTTTTCTTCGTCTTTCTTCTCCCCTTCATCCATCTTAGGTCTCTTACGTTTGTGACTGACTCTGTCTCTGCGACCTCCTTCTCCCTCATCTTCACTGTCAGAAAACTCTTCTTCACATGTGATACGCTTGTCGCTAGCACGGACTGAAAAACAAGAAACACCTGCCATGAAATATGCACATTGCAATACACAAGCTCTTTACTTGACTTCTACATTCCATACAAAACAACACACTGTATACATATACAAAAAAAACGTAAGAAAGCCTATGGCATGGTTTCAGAAATCTCATCTTAATTTATTTGCAAACTTGTCATGGTCTATGAATTGGACAAGTTGCATTAAAATTTGCAAATATAAAAAGTTCATACTTGATATCCTGTGGTCTGGGTTTTCTTTGTCTTCATCTTCCTCTTCATCATTTAAAGCATCTTCTGGGATGTCTGAGTATGAAAAAATTGCAGTGAAACATAAATTTGTACTCACCGAACCACTCGTGCCTATTTTTGTTTTTCTTTAGCTTTTAAATATCTAATGCAAACAAACTTTTTAAAAATGTTTAAACTCACCTGTCATCTGGACTCCTGGGACATGGGGCAGCATCCTCAAATTTTCAAACAGTCTTGTGCTGAAATTGACATTCCATAACACTTGATTATTATGATCAACCCACAATTAACCAAAGGTTTGTAAAGCATTCATAAAACTATGACTTGTGTGCAGAGGTATTCTCCAGGTATGTAATATAATACTTGGACACTTTGACACTGCTAAATTTATGTTCCACACAATTTCCCCCCAAACTGTCACAAGCTTTACAGACTGGGTCTACATGTGTGCAGCAGATAAAGAATGAAGGTGAATTTCAAATCAAGTTAAAACCCAACAAGTCTTTTAAGTGAAAAAATATTTAGCAGTACATTCATTTATTTTTTAATCAAATATGAAGGTTACATAGGGTTATAAAGAATCTACAGATATCATACAGAACAATTTTTTGGGAAAGAACATTTTATTTCCTACCAAATTTTGTCCAAGTATTCAGGAGTATTTTGATTTGCCATGTTGGATGGACTGATGTGAAGCTTGAAGTCTGGGCCATAATACTCAAAGTAGTCATTGTATGGAAGTTCTGGAAGATAGAAACATTTTCTTCTATAGTGTAGTATGTTGCAGCACAATTTCCTTTCTTCATGAGACACATTATATGCAGAAGGAAAGGTATCAAGCCACATCATTATGCATTATGAATATTATGCAAAGTACACCAGATCTCATTGAAAAAGTTCACTTGAATGTATGTATTACTATGAACTCCTAAATATTTTCCCCTAGTACATTAAATGTAAATTGCTATGTTTCAAACTTACCATTAGCCACATCATGTCCAAGTGCGATGGAAGTTTCATATGTCCAGCATCTGGCAACATTTCTGATTGTATAGCCTCCACCTCCCAGGAGCAGCAGGGGCAGGTTGTACTTCTTCAGGAAGTCCACACATTTACCATGACCTGAAACAGTTACACAGCAGTTGGTCAACTTTTGATTACGTTCACAGTATGGAAGATATGTATCACATAAAGAGTTGCCCTCTTTGGAATTATACAAACCTGATATATCTGAAATTGGCTTGAAAAGGGATTTGTGGACATATTTATAACTTCTTCATTAAAAATATAAAGTGAGCTTCAAAAACTTTTAAAAATTTTTTTAATAAATTTGGAAATGTATTTGTTTCACTTATCAAATATCTAGTAGAACCAAAACCAGCAAACTGCACAAAACAGTGCAGTACAAATTGTAAAAGCATACAAAATTTAGGAAAAAAAAATTGTCAAGTTACCTTTGAGAGTGAGGTTGAAACATCCCAGCCTATCTCCAGAGAGGGAATCAGCACCACACTGTAGCACAATTGCACTGGGCTGGTAGCATTCCATTACCTTGGTCATCACCTACAGCAAAAAAAAAAAAAAAAAAATTCAGTCATTCCCAAGATGTTTGATAAAAATACTTCTCAAACAATATTCATTAAAAAATAATCAAGCAATATAGCAAAGCAATTTTACATATTACGTTACACTGATTAAAATACTAGATTATTCCTACTTACCGGCTCAAATATCTTGCAGTAAGACTCATCATCAATGCCATCTCTCAGAGGAAAATTAACAGCATAGTACTTTCCCTTGCCAGCACCAATGTCCTGAAGGAAAGAAAATTGGTTATCCAACCTCAATGATACATAAACTGGAAACTGTGACAACCCAATTCAGTTTGACCGAAGGCCTTACGGTAAGATTGAAACTTAGCAAAGTTAAATTCAAGTATAAGTTCCTGCATGAGATTTAATTACAACTTCATCTTTATCTTAGTTTAAAACAATTGGACCAAATCAAAACTTCATTTTGATAACAAAAATTTGATAGGAATTTGCTTATATTTTATTGTTTATACCTCAGTTATCAATCTCAAGTCGGTATACTTTAAAGACAACTTATAATACAACACTTACTCTGAGATCTCCGGTCCCTGGAAAGTATTCTCCATACTTGTGGAAGGAGACAGTCATCACTCTGTCTGTGGTGTAGAATGCCTCCTCAACACCATCTCCATGGTGAATGTCAATGTCCACGTACAATACTCTTTGGTGATATCTGGAAGAATGTTATGAATCACTACAAATGAAAAAAATATGATAATAATAATAATAATAAAAAGTTAAGCCTAATCAAATTTTTTAAAACTCAATTAGGCAAAACATCTGTTGAAACAGATTTTTAATGGCTGAAAAAATCAAATAATTCTTTAATTACATTTCCTCTAAAATATTCCACGTGAGAGAGTTCAACTCATGAAAATCACAAGTTATTTGTGCTTACTTGAGTAGTTCTAGTATTGCAAGTACAATGTCATTGACGTAACAGAATCCAGAAGCCTCAGACTTCTTGGCGTGATGAAGACCTCCTCCCCAGTTCACTGCTATGTCAGTCGCTTGTTTGTTCAGCTTCACTGCTCCAGCTGGAGGTAGAATTTTGTTAGTATTGAAAGGGTGCACATTCATTTTATATTTTCCTCTTATCTCCATGAAATAATATCCTAAATCAGGGAATTAACTTTAAAAATAACAGTATGCAAGAGTATCATCATTCTCCAAACCCACATTCATTTATAATAAACTATGTCTTACCTACAGAGCCCCCTGTTGAGAGCTGGCAAAACTCATAGAGACCATCAAACACTGGACAATCTTCACCGACATTGACTGGAAAACACGTCACAAATTTACTTTAATATCCTCTATTAGCACTTCCTTAACTGTTTTTACTCATATATTGGATCATGTACATTTTGTTACATCTTTTTCTTTTATATATTATTATCAAAATACAATGTAAATATTATAATTGTTAAAAATCTGTCATTACTAACATCTCTGCATCTGTTTGTTGTACTCTGACATGTTGTCTGGACGAATACTTCTCAGAAATTTAATATAGTCATCACTGTGGAACTTGGTCATTTCTTCCTGGGTGGCTTTGTGAGGGCGCTGTAAAAGTGAGAATGGCCTTGTTAAAATGTTGATAGACAATTTATAAATAATTACTTGATTTCCAGTTTTTCAAAGAAGCAGCAAAGCTGTCAAATGTACAGACAAAAAACAGGAAATAACTATGCACAAAATAGGCTACTGTCAATTCTGATGCAAAANTTTCCAGTTTTTCAAAGAAAAAAAATGCTCAAAAATAAAATTAATTAAAAGTACTAAACGCCTTCCATCAAAGATAACCTAGATCAAAAGAATAACAATATGTGCAAAAATAATAGTAAATACTACAAACAGTATCTAGTAAAAGTATTTTGTATTGCAATTAATACGTTATATCCTTGCTTTGTAGAAAATACATAAAAATAAGCATAGGAAGAGCCATTCAGCCATACCAATGCAATACTGGTCTACACAATGACCTCATCACAACTTACATAAATCTCCATCTTTCTGTAAAGCCCATAGTTAAGCAGAAGATTGTGAGTCATTCGCATTCTGTGAGGTTTCATGGGATGCCCTTGTCCATAGTAGTAGTTGCCAATGTCACCTACAGGAACAGTGTGCACAACACCACATCATTTATACAACATTCAAAAACAGTAACAGTGCTGCTTAAAATCAAATTTGGTCCATGGGTGCATGGTATAAGGACATGTCATCAGGAGGAAGAAATGAGATCAGATGCAGCAATGGAGAAAAAAATAGTTATGTATTTAGCAGAAATGGTTTTGATGTTTTGAGGATGACAACAGGTCATTCACTGTCACACAGAATAAGTATTAGGGAATCAAGCAAAGAGGCAGAGAAGCTTCATGCTAAATAGTGGTCATGCCACCATGCCAGCATCATGCCAAATGGTGGTCATGCCACAATGCCAGCATAATAATACAATTGGAGTTCATGCCACAATGCCATGTTTTTGCAGTGCCACAACAGAATGATGAAACAGTGGAAAGCATGGGTTGGGCATATCTGAAAAGAATGGATACATCTGGGAGAGCATATATGTAAAGGAAATGGACCACTGATAGCAGCACTGTTTTATACAGAAAATGGCAACACAGGCCATTTACTTACATATATTTCCATCTTTCTGTATAGACCATAGTTGAGAATTAAGTTATGAGCCATTCGTATTCGGTGTGGCTTCATGGGGTGACCTTGGCCATAGTAATAATTGCCAATGTCCCCTACAAAAAAATATGAAAAATTGAGGAGCTCACAGTTACTTTGAGAAAATCAACAATAGATTAAGAATAGAAGTTATCGTACTAGAACTAAGGAGGTAGTGAAAATAGTCAGATGTGTGTTTAGATGGCTTTTAAAAAATTAAAAATAATGTTTTCAACTAAGGGCATACTAGTAAGTACCAATGCACTCATATATGGTAAGATGTACTCCACAAAATCGATCTGTATAAAGACAATATTACACAAATTTTAATAACAGTGTGTGTGCTGCACAAAACAATATTACACACCTACTTCTGATAAAACTCCCTAAAAATACATGAGCTCGAACAAAGTCTTTCATTGTGAAAATGAGAGTATCAAGAAAATGGCCTCCTGGGCCATCGTAAATTATTCTATCACTTTAGCTTGTATTTATATCAGATAAATATGAAAATATTGATATTTATGCATAAATATAACAGTGGAAAATGAATCTATTTGGTGTGAAGTTCGATAAGCTGGCAGAACTATTCTTTACACACAGCGTGAACCAGCACATACCTCTTCGATCTGTGGGTGAACTGCACAAACGCCAACATCAATAAAACTCATGGAAGTGAAATGTTATTTCTTCTTTGGACAATTTTTGGTCAAGAAATGGGCACAATGGATACAAGGTTTTATGGTATCAACAATTTTGACAAAGATAAATAAAAAAGTATTGTTTCACTTGTTAACGAACTACACGGTAAGAACGAGGACATTGTACGTAGTCTACGTACCATGCAGCAAGAACACAATTGTTTTTAGTCTAATTTTGCCGTTTAATTTGGTGGGGAATACTTTTCACTGCCAATTAACATGCAAAGGATACACAAGAGCATCAAATACGACTAATTTTTTAGAATATAACTCAAAACAGTTTAGGTAAACGTTGTACTGTTCTCAGTAAGTAATCTATGAGAAGTAAAACTAAAAATTGGAACGTCACGGAACACGATTCAAGGGCCACCGTACTTTTATAAACTTCACTCACGGTTGCTACCATCCTCATTTGCACAATCTAGGATTCTGGTATTTCCCAGTTAAATAACCCCAAAGCGTTTCATGAAATCAAAACAACTGGCACATACATTTAAATTATGTACAAGAATTAGTTATGTGTCACGTTATGTTTCTCCACATTGTTCGCAAGTCGGCAAGCCGCGCACAATGCCATCGGCGACTTCGATTATGGTTAACTTTCAATCGCAGCCGTGAACCAACTCACAAATTTTCTTGAGGCGTCCAAGTCAGTAATAAAGTGCTTTGTAGGCTTTAAAACACTATCTTAACTTATCTTACCGTCGTAATAATAGCAAACTCTCTTCTTGCTGTGCGGCTGAGTGGCCATTTTTGTAATGTTATATGCAAATGAAGTCACGAAAACAGCGCCGCCTAGTGGGAGAAATTACGAGCTGACCGTCACGTTTTAGTTCGTCCTTTTTCAAACATTACAAGGTTATTTATTAATAATCAGGTTATTCTCCACAGTAACAGAGGGGTCATATTACTTATTATATTAAATCCCAAGAGATTAAGACGCCTCAAAATGATCAAAACAATCGAAATGGTTACTTTTTACCTTGGTGGATTCAGGATATCAAAGGGGGCGGGGGAGGGGGTGCGAAGGAGGTTTTGCAAGACATGGTGCAACCCGGGCATTTGTATAACTTCTGTGGGTTGCGTATCATCCTTTTTTTGTACAGGGATTATTCCAATATATCCTACTTACACCACAGGCCTATTTAGAGTCGTCTCTTTCATTTCCAGACTTTGCTACTAGCCTCCCCCCCCCCACACACACACACAAAACAAAGTTATCATATAGGCCTATAATACGTACTGTAGGGCCTATATAGGCCTATTACTCGCATCGACACTTCCCCCTCACCCCCACTGTTTTGGAATATGCACTTTTTGAGTCCCGGGAAGACGTGTTTGTTGTATTTATAATAGGGTTTTCAATTAACGGAAATAAACAATTATGTTAAATATGTCACACTTCTTTTTTGCCGGGGGATTTACAGGGCTACTGTGGAGGAGTAAGCCAAATGTTGTGTGTGTGTGTGTGTGTGTGTGTGTGGGGGGGGGGGGGTAAAAGTTCAGGGTTGTTACAAAGCGTAGCAACTGAATATTTCTGATATTATCTGATTTTCCTCTAGGTTTAAAGACAATGGTGACAACAAAAGAAAACACTTACAGGGTTAGGCCCTATTACTTAATATGGAATATATTTTATCATTGTTATTTTTGAGTGCTGATCAATTTTTTTGGTTTGATTCATCAAAAAAGTATGTCATTGAGTGATAAAAATATCGAGTCTTCAATTGTGAGATATTTTGGTCAATAATATCAAATCTGACATAAGATGTCATTCAAAAGAAAAGAACACACCCAGAAAACCATATCAACAGTTTGATGTCAGTATTAATTTTAAGCTAAGATATTAAGAAAATTATAGCTTCCGAACAGTGATATGTTACACAGTCAAAGAACTCATTACAGTAAATCTTGAAAAGTCATCAACAGCGGGTATGACCTCCGGCAGCCCGCTTGCAGCGCCCTTATCCTACATTGCATACCCTGTGACAAGTTTTTTTAGAGTTTTGATGGGGATGTCATTCCACGCAGTGATATTTGCCTGTCGCAGTTCATCGCTATTTACCGTCCGATGACCATAGCTATTAATTCTGTGAGTTACTTCCGCCCACAGGTTTTCAATTGGGTTCATATCTGGGGAGTTTGCAGGCCAGGTCAGTTGCTGAACCCATTGGTTTCGAAGAAAAACAATGATTCTGAGAGCTCGATGTGGGGTTGCACAGTCGTCTTGGTACACAAAGTTGTTTCTGAAGACTCTTACAAATCGAAGGATTGTTTGCTGTAGAATGTCTCTGTAGGAACCCTGGTTGAGGTTGCATCCTAGAAAAACAACTGGTTCTGGGCATCGGCATGAAATGTTCCCCAAACAGAGACGTTACCACCCCCTGCTTGCACCCTAGGCAGTACACAATCATCGTTTTATGCCTCTCGTACACGTCGGCAGACACGGATTCGACCGTTAACCCTAAAAACTCCATACCTAGCCTCATCACCCAAAACGACGTGATTTCAGTTTTTTGGCTGCAAGTGCATGTGGTCCCCAGCCCATTGCAGGCGTCGCTGTATATGACCTGTTGTTAACAGTGGTTTCCCTACTGGTCTTCATGCAAAATGACCGACTTGCAGTAATCTCTTGTTCACGAGGGACCTTGAAACGGGCGTTTGAATGACATTCTGCCACTCTTTTCTGAGGATACTGGTTATCTTTGTACGACCAGCACGGCGCACTCTAAGGAGAAGGCAATCCTGTCTTCTTGGTGTGATACGAGGACACCCTGGTCATGGTATTGGAGTAGGTGCCCCTGTTGTAGCATTTCTTTGGAGGACTTTACTTACGGTTCCTGATAAATGTTGCATTGCCTGGCAATGGCTGTCCGTTTCTGTCCTTTTTCTTTGAGAGCAAGAATCCCGTAGTAAGCTGCGTTGCTTTGCTGTCGAACCATATCTTCTCTAAGGTACCTGTCAAGTTTCAGAGCGATCCCTTTGTTGCTTCTCTAAATACACTCCAAAGATTGACCAAACCCATGTGTTTTTATACAAGGGCAGAAATTGCCGAAAAGACCACCCCTCACATTTCTGACCACAGAACATGCAACTGCATGCATCAATTGTTTCGAGAGTCGTGTGGTAATTAGGTAACACACGTGGCTACACATGGAGTGACAACTCAGTTTTGGGTTTAAAGTAGTTAGAGAGAAAATAAATATTATGTAGAAAATTTACTCGCCAAAGAAATAATATTCCATATTAAGTAGCAACCCTGTATGTTCACGTTGGTAATGTGAAAGCATCTAAAAGCATCTAAAATTGTGAGATATTTAGGTGTAATTTTTGATTCATCTGAAATTTTTGGAGAACAAATCAACAATATTTGTAAGCGAACATCGTTTTTTCTTTGGAGGATAGGCAAAGTTCGTAACTTACTGGACATATCAACAACAAAATTAGTCCATGCTTTTGTTACCTCAAAACTTGATTGTTTTAATAGTATTCCCTTTGGATTGAGTGAGAGTAATTTTTAAAAAAAGTCCAACTAACTGAAAATCCAGCAGATAAAATATTAATAAAGAAGATTTTTAAAAAGTTTGGAACACATTACTCCAGTTTTAAAAGAACTACATTGAATTGGTTACCAATCCGACAAAAAATATTCAAAGTCTTGTGCATTTTTTTCATAGAGCGCTAGAGTACATCAATTTCGGCAATGTAACTTATTACAAAGTTAGAACCACAAAGGCAAACTAGACATCCTTTTTATAACAACTTTACACTTAGCCAGAGAGGGAGTGTAATAAATTTTATTGAGTCAGGGCTTTTATTGTTTACGTCTTTTTGATTAGATCTCAAATAGCAATTACGACAGTTTTAAAGTCTTGAAACTCATCTTTTTAAAAGTTTTTATGATTAATGTTTTTAAACTTTTAAAGTAAGTCTGTATTTTAGTGCTGTTATTCTTAATAATTTTTATATTAATATTGTATATTGTGAAGTGCATTGAAATGTAAGAAATAAATATTATTTCACAATAAATAAATAAATATTATTATTATTATTATCATTATCCAATAGCTTTTATATGGATGAATAGAATGAAAATTTGTGCTACGCCGTTATTATTATAAATATTTAATATTTTCTCTCGGTACGACAATATAGCGCAACACTGTCTTAAATATTCCGAGCAAAGGGACTGCGGGCCTATTTTCTAAATGTTAAATTAACTTGATGTTATATTTGCCGCTAAGGGGCATCATTCATCGCTTCTTCCAACGAAAAAGCCAACAGTAGCAATCTGGCAAGGCAACAAAGAATTAAAGATTAAACATTCTATATCATGTTCATTGTAAATAATTAAAAACGAGTAAATTAATAAACCTGACAAATGAGTTTCACTTATATTTATAAGATACGGGACAAATATTTGATACCATTCCGTATTACAACTTACTAAGTTAGATATTGATTTTTGTTCTTTCATTTTATCTATCTATCTATCTATAGATAGATAGAAGGCATAGCACACAAACCCTTGACAGTGTCGACAAATAACCTAAGGGAGAGCAGGGCTAGATGGACCCCGGGGTAAGTTGGCAGATCGTCAACTTATAAAAAATACCTAGGAGGCAAAAAATGTCATCAGATATTATCTTGTAAAGTCACCATATCCCACAGTGCCAAGAAAGCGTCGGTCAGAAAAGTTTTGCTTGGGCGGTGTGTCCAAATAAAAGACTTACATCTGAAAGTAACTTTGTTGAAGATATTTTAAAATTTATTTACATTTTGTGATAGTATAAAGGATGTGTACCATGAATGTCATAGTTTATTCTAGCACTCAAGGACCCTTAATTTTCATGATTTTTCAACACAAATTCAAGATATTGAAGGAAACGCGTAGAAACATCAAAATATCTGCCCCATATGGACTGCAAATTTAGCTAAGACTCTCAAAATCAATTAGATATGATAAAAGGCGTAAAATACATTAATGGCGTTAACATGGATTGCTACATTATTTCAGTAGGCTATAGGGTGCCAACTTGCCCGCCATGGGACAAGTGAGCCCCCCTGACAACAGGTGTTTTTTTTTTTTTTTTTTTTGGTCAAATTGTGATCCATGTGGCATTACATTGCAAAACAATGACGTTGCATCTGTAGTTAAGTCTTTGTTTGTTCTCAAACCAGTTTTGGTGCTCTAACTTTTTCACATTTAGCTCCACAAGGCCAAAAGTCTCTCACTGGGGCAATTTACCCCGGTCCCCCTTCCCCTTCTCCTAACCATTTTGTTACTAAACCAGAAAATGTCTTCTCCCTTCTTAAACCAGAGTAATGCATAATGAAATATTTATATTTTTTTAATGAATCAATTAAAAAAGAAGCTGTAAGATTAATTTTTCTAACATACTAAGTATTTTTCAATCTGGAAAATGAATGATTTGCGCTAACAAAGTCACGACGCAGTTTCGAAATTATGGACTTGCTTTTTTATATATAAGAATAAATAAAAAACGTGCATCAAAAAGATGGAATGAATGGTGTGAAAAACATGGTAACAAAAAAATATGTTCTTTACTACTGGATGGACAGGGTTTCATTTATAAGATAAAAGGAGCTATACAAATAATGATGATGCACGAAAAAGTATAAGATGACAAATGTTACGATGGACTTTATTTTACTGATTACGCGAGGAAAGAACAAAACAATTTTCATTTTCCTTCATATTCTTTATTGTTTACATTGCATTTTTACAGAGTGTAGCTATCTATGGAGGTCA